ATTTATTATTTTTAAATATTTTAAAAAATATTAAATAATAACTAATTTTTAATTTGAGTTTTAATATATTTGTAAAAAAAAAAACTATCATTTATAATTAATACTTTTGATTATATAATAAAATAAAAGTTTTTAGATTTAATAATGCATACAAAGTATATATTAAGAGTTTTATATTTTTAGTCCGGAGCGAAGCGGATTGGCTAGTTGCGTGTTACGAATAGTTACGTGAAACTCACGCATTTGTTGACCTTTCCTATACTGGCAGAGAAATAGCTCCGGACTTACAACGGGTTCCCGTTTCTCTAGTTATAATTTAACATACGATTATTATAATTATAAATAAATAATTACTGTTAAAATATATACTTTAAAAGTTATTAATTTTAATTAATTAATTAATAATATATATTTGCTTTATATATTTTTTCGGTTTTATATACAAATTATTAATATTATATGGTATATTAATACAACGTAAAAGCGAAATACAGTAAATGTGAAGAAGAATTATATATATATATTTTTTCATTAATATACGGAATTTTTCAGACAACAATAAGTGTTGATTATTATGTAATTCAAATCCAAATAAGCACTTAAAGTCAATCCGGATATACACAAATAGGTGATACGTTTAAATTATTATAAACTTCGAATGATTTTTGCGCATAACGGTATCACATAAGAATTTGTATGTTATATTAGGAAATGAAGATATAATTTTTATTAATGATTAAATTAAAATATAAAATCAAATTCTGCATAAAAAAATGCGACATCTTTCCTTCTCTTCTCTCTCCTTTATTCCATAAGGCATCACCTCAAAAATAACTTTTATCACCGAACAAAGTTATTTTTTCCTTAATATCAAAATTCTTCCTTTTTTTCTTGCATCATCTCCTATAATCCTTTACTTTAATACAAAAATGACGACTCTAACACACTCCTTTTCCTTAATTATATTGACTTTTTTAGTATTAACCGTTAACATGATTTTGATTGATGCATCTTCGATCTACCGACGTCAAAATCCTGTATCTGAAACCGATATTAGAGAATTTAAATTATGGGTAAAATATGCTAGGTAAGAGAATACAATCATTTGCTCCAAAGTTATACGCAAATGTAACAACTTGTCGCGTTTCTTAATTTTAGTGCCGCATACTGCGACGTAAAAGATTGGAAATGTGGTAAAGCATGTGAAGGTGATACAGCCGGAACTCGATTAATAAAATTTTTTCAACAATCGGTTCCAAGAGATAATAATGGCTTTGTAGCAATTAATGATAAAGAAAGAGCAATTATAATTGCTTACAGAGGAACGTCCGATATACAATCCATTATACAAGATTTTCAACTTAATCTAACTCCGTATTCGCCATCTGTACCAGATGCAAAAGTACATTTTGGTTTTTATGCTACATATAATGATACAAGAGAAGAAATTACTTCTTTAGTTAAACGATTAGTCAAAGATAATCCTTCTTATAAAGTTATTTCTACAGGACATTCTTTAGGAGGAGCTTTAGCAGTATTTCAAACTTTAGATTTAATTGGTACACCAGGATTAAACCCTTCTAATCTTTTAACCTACACTTTTGGTGAACCACGTTCTGGAAATAATGCTTTTGCTAAATTTATCATAAATTCTGGTTATAAATTTTTTAGAGTTGTAAACCAAAATGACCTTG